ATGCAGAAGTCTTAAGTTACACATTTTGAAAGTATGTAGGATTCACTTGTTAGAAAATACACACAGTATTTCTGTGCCTGTGTCAGTTGTTTCCCATAAGCAAAGTTTCAAAGCTTATAATGGTATCCCCACCGCCAACCATAAGATGCAGTGGCCAACATGCTTATAAATTGGTAATTAAATACAAAAATAACCCAAGAAAGAAAAGGTAACATGTATTCCAATACTGGCACATTCAAGTGATGGAAATCTCTGGAGTCTCTCATTTCAGCTGATTTATACCTCCCACTTCATTGTTAGTTAGAAACCATTCACATGATTTTACTCTTAAAAAACTTCTGTTTCTTTGACAAAGCCAATAAAAAAACCTTCTTGCTCAGAACACTCTAAGCATTGGAAGTGTCTGCTAATATGTTTTACGTAACCTTGAAGCCTGTTCTAAGATTTCACTCAATGCATAAACAAACTATCAGTAACTAATTTTTTTTTAATTTTATGAAGGGAAAATAAATATTTGGCCTGTAGTCTGAAACACTCCTATTTTACCACTAGGATCAATTCGTCTAAATATTACAAATGACATCAGGCACTGCTGGTTGCAGTTTTCAAAAATAGCTTGCGAGTACTAGTATTGGCTTTGTTAACTAGAGGCACATCATGAGATTGCAGTGCACTCTAAGAAGGAGTAATTAGCAAGGTCACCACTCCAGAAAAATGCAGCTGCTGTACCAAGGACACCAACTGAAGGAATACCTGAGCTAAAATGAACCATACTCGTTCTACTCTACGGCTGTTTTCTGCAGGGCACAAAACATACTAATGACCTCTCGGCAAGATCCCTGGCCCTGCATGTAGTAGGGGCTGGCTGTGACAGAGCTGCTTGGGGAGCTCAGTGTCTAATTGCCACGTGAGGCATCCAGCTTGAACTTCTGTGAGCTACTGCTGCCTGACCTTGTAAGTGTGATTCTGCTTTGGAGCAGGAGCAAAACTGTGTCCTGATAGAAGCAGATGCCTACATCCCAGTCATGCTCTGTTGAAGCTGTTCTGTTTTGCCTGTAGGTCCCAGGCTGGGAGAAAGGCAAAATGATGGGGCACTTTTAGGGAAAATTGTCTGATTTGACTACTTGAACTATGGCCAAAGACACCTCTTGGACATCTCGTTCTCAGCAGGTGGGAAACCCTTCGTCTGTCTGCGCCACAGGAGAGCTTCTACCCCAGGTGCTCCTTGGCTTGAACAGTTTTTGGGTTTTCTGGTGGGGTCACAGTGTTGTGTTGCAGGGGAGTGCTTTAATCCAGGAGGATGCACATACGAGTCCCTCCTGAGCTCTTCCACCAAAGCCTGTCTGCTCCGTGCATCTCCCAGGTGTGAAGCAGAAATTTGGGCTATATCCTGCGGGCATCTCATCTCTCTGCTAGGTACATGTAAAGGGCTTGGGCAGGAGACAAGCTCACCCTTGTGACTCCCCACAACCTGGTGGGGAAGGTGCACCCACAGTTCAAAAACCTGCACCAAATCAAGTAGGAGTTGAATGCCAGGCTCCTCCCTGACTACCCTACACAACGCCAGAACAGTTCTGGTTTGGGTGTTGTTTTTTTTTTTTTTTCTGGTGGGGAAAGGTTGATTTCAGTAAGGGGTCTCACAGGTGGGAATCCTGAGTGGAATTACTGTGTGGCCTGAACTATCTTTGAGGATGGGGATGGAGACCCAGGTCTTCTCCTGAGCATTTTCTGCTGATAAAGTGAGGGCTGCTGGCTGGCTCCTGTGAGACCTGATGGCCTGTAACACGTGAGACAGGACACCTGACTGAATTCAGGCTGCGGTTAGCACTAGTCGGGAGGACACCTAGAAGAAAAGGCATTGCAGCTGAACCAGCTTGAAGCACCTTCAGCAGAGAATGAAGCCCCCATGACCCTATGGGTGGTCCATGTGCTCACCACATTTTAGCACTGGAATTGTAAATGCTAGAGCCCTCATTCAAGGCAACATTTCCACTAACAGCCAGGGCAAGTAAGTGAGGACTCTCCTGTTGCTGGGACAGACTAGCGTGCATTGGGGCACCTCCACAGAAAGGCCAAGCAGCGCTTTACTACCACTGTCCGGGGTAAGGGTGGGATCTCTGTCCTCTTCTCCACATGCTCTCTAATTTGTCCTTGCCTCTTGTGGACCTGTGTTTTATATGCAATTGCAGAACTAAGCTGATTTCAATGGATTTTGAGCTCTGCTTGTGCAGTGGGCAGGGAAACGAGTAAAAGACGGAGAATTCCGATTTAAGAACCTACACTGTCATCTCTCCTGTGCACATCGTGGGAGAGTTTGGCAAAACTGACTGAAGTACTGGGAAAATGTTTTCCTATCAGAAGTAATGTAAAGTAGATACAATTTCTGTCTATCAATCTTGTAAGCACTAGCTAAAAAGTGTTTTCCACCAAGTGGAACGAGAAACTTGGATTATGTTTCTTTAACATCCTGTGTGCTTCCACAAAGAATCTTCTTTTTCCTCTCAAAAATGCAAATCTTTTGCGGGTTCCTAAGCTGAGTGTTAAAAAAAAATTGTTGTAAGATTTTAATTCATTTTTTAAGATTGAGCTGTACCACTTCCAGAGACCAAATGCTGTTCTGAGATGCACTGCTGTGCCCCCCCTGGTTTCAGTAGGGTTGCTTCGTTTTGCCTGAGAACAATTTGATAAAGATCTAGCCGTGCTCTCTCATTTTCTTCCTTGTGATGGAGGAACAGAACCATAACATTAGTCAGCAGTTTCTGAATTTTGACCCACAATAGCAAAGATACCGAAAGACAGGAGAAATAGATGGAGGCAATTACAAACAGTCACTTGATTGATGGTTGACATTGTTAGCGCTTCAGCTGCGTGTCAGGTTGCGGTGGTGCTGAATCCCCATCCCTGCCGGTGGGTGTTGCCATGGGCAACAGCGCACTGAAGCCAATAAAAGGGAGAGGAAATGAGGGGAGACTCAACCTTGGGGGGAGCGGTAGGGTATGCGTTATAAATTATGTTATACTTAGCAATATGCAATATCAAAATTCAGGAAAGCTGTGTATACCTGCCAGTAGTACTATGTCAGTTCCTAGTATCCGTTTCTCCCATAAAGTACGTGTTATAAGTTTTGTATGGCTTGCTGCTTACTATCTTGCATCTGTCTTTATTCAGGGAAGAAAGAAGTGGTAAAATAATAGCAGCCACATTTCCATTTGGTGCATGTATTCACTGCTGTGCAGTCTGCATTTCTGCTCCTCTCCTGCTTCCTTCTGCCAGAGAAAGTGGTGTGGCTCGGTTGTGTACTAACAGATTGGCTTGCAACAGTACCGAAATTTCCAGCTATTCTCCTATACACGATTAGTAGCACAGAGGGGTTTTGTTTTGTTGGTTTTTTTTAAAGAAGTGATCAGCAGATTTGTTGTTTCTGTTTGATTGTCAGACATGTAATCACCTTTTCCAAGGTGCTAATGACTCACTTTCCTTAAAAAGGAGGAAAGCTCCTTTTAGCATCTGGTCAGCTGGGCCAGGTTCTGATTTCCATGAAGTTGGTGCCAGATCAAGGTAATTCTATCAAAGTAAATGGAGTTTGGCACAGGTGTAAAACTAGAAATTCAGCTGTATTTTCTGCTGCCAGACAATCCTATATTTAGAATCCCATTTTTCATGGAGTACAAAGGCTTTTTTTCCCTATGAATGGGAACTCGTAAGCACTGCAACATGACTCCTCTTGTGTCCGGTCATGCAGCAGAGAAAGCACTCTCAAATCATAGACCACGGTTTCACTACACTAGTGATCTTTGCACTAATGGAAAGAGACCAACTTTCAGGTAATACTAGCGTCATCACACAGAACTAGACACGATTGGTTTTGTGACCTATCATGTTTGATTAGATTTTTATGAACACCTCTACCACAGATGTCTACATGTCAGCCTTGACTAGTGCTGTGATAGCTGTAATAACAGCATCTCAAATTGTACTGAAAGAATTGCAAGAGAAGAAAGAGGTAGTCAGTGCAGTATGATGATATTCTTCCTCTCCACCATTTCAAAATACTAATTCCAACTGGAAATTATACTAGAAAGGCTTCTCCATGGTCCACTTTTCAATGTAATATAAACCTGAAGCACAAGGCGACAGATTTCCTTTTTTATTTGTATTCTATTTTCATTAAAGCCCATTAATATTTTCCTTAGGGGCCACTGTAATTTAAAAAAAAAGAATGTGGTAAAAGAGCATTTTTTAAAAGAAAAAAAAAACCCCTCTAAAATTACCATGCAATATTTTGCCTTTATGCAACCTTCCCCTTGCTGAGACATTTACTGCATTGTTAATATGAATTTCTCAGGGAAGCAGGGACAGGTTGGTGTTTTTAAAGATAATAAGGTTTGTTTTTAAATGTAGCAAAGGTAGGCAATTCTAAAGGCCCTGATCAATCACTAAGAAGCTTTGTTGTAAAAAAATACTTCTTTAGAATACAAAGCAGGCTTTTCAGAACATTCAGGCATAAAAGAGGAGGGAAGAATGAGAAAGGAACATCACAAAAGCAGGCATAATTGATTCATAACATGTACTGAAGAGATGCAAAACAACAATGTAATTACATACTATTCTGTTTTCCTGCAGCTCCTTGCATATGAATTGACCAGCTTGCATCCCAGTTCTGCTCTGTATTATTAATTTTATTAAGCTGTGAGTTCTTATATTTCAGTCTGTTGTCAGCTTTACAGATTTTTACAGCAGCAGTTGAAATGTAGCGGAGCTGAATGAATGCTTCTTGTGCTAAGTCTTCTGTGTCACTCCAGATACCAGTGCAATCTCACCACAGGCCTTCCTTTCAGTCCCACTAAGCCTCCCAGTAAAAGCAAACTATGCTGCCATCAAGATAATATCCGATCAATCAAGCATGTCTGTGAAAGCATTTCTTAAAAAAATGGTGGGCCTAAGCTTACGAAAGCCTTTCAGACAGCTCTTATCGTAAAGCGATACTGACATTTGCAGGCTTAATTTATGTCTTTGAGAGACATGGTAAAGCTAGAGGAAAAGGAGGACGAGGATGCTGCCTGAGAAGGAAGTCTTTTTTGGTGCAGCTCCTCCCATTTACCTCTATTTACTGCCACGGAGTCCAGCATAGGCTTCAGTTTCACATTCAGCTTCACTAGACACTGGAAGAAGATAAAAAACCAAAGAGGGTGAGAGAAAAAAATACTGTCAGTATTTCCACTCCCCTGATGGACAGTCCAGGGAGTAACAGGATAAAAAGTGTTTAATATGCACCATGCGCCCACCCTCCTTGCTCCCAGCTGTAAATTCCTGTGTAGGTAAAGCTTGTTGGTCCCATTGAGATCTCTTTATCTTACTTGTTTTACCCGAGGCTTTAAGCCACCAAAAAATGTCAAAAAAGCACATAAGGTGGCTGAATTGCTGCTCAACTAATTCAGGTTTGTAATCCTCACAGGTAGTCCCTTTTGAGGCATCCCCCAGGTGCCTGAGGCTATCTGGTTGTTGGCATCTATGAGCAGGAGATCCGCTGGTTGGATGACAAGTTGGAGAAAGCTGAAATAACCTTCAGATTCTCCCTAGGGCTAGATTTTTATTTCCTATAGATGAGTAAACCACAACAGTACTGTGCTTTCCAAAGCTGGCAAAAAATCCATTTCTGTGTGCTCAAAATAAAGAAAAAAAAAAAGGAGTTTTCTTTTTAGATTGCACTGAAATCACCTCTTTTCTACATACCCAGTCCAAAGCTCACAGAAGCCAGCAAGAATCTTTTATCTGTTTTCAGCCGGCTTTGAATCAGCCCCAAAATTATATAATCCCTACACACCTTTGCTAGACATTTATTTTACCTTCCCCTTTAGTATCAAATACTTATGTGGAAAGACCACAAGTGCTTCACTTGGTTTTGTCCCTACATTAAAGAGAGACAGAACCTCATTAACAGCAACACCCAGATGTGAAGAAAGGGTTAACCAGTTACCTCCAAAGCGGTCACGTAATGTGCTTTTTCAGGACAGGGGAGTATTATTCTTTTGCAGCTTTTTTGATTAGCAAGGAATGGGGTTTGCTGAGAGTCGGGTATCATGCTTTCTTTGATAGCATGGGAACTATGCATTTGTCATTTGAAATAAAGGTTTGGTGCAAAAAAAGAATAACGACAGAGAAGACAGCGAAAGATGTTTTTCTAAAAGTGCAGAAAATTATTAAGGAAAAGAAAGGAAAAGGGGAAGCAGGTACCTTTGCAGTTGATCATTTTCATTATTTGCTTTAAATAGCAGGGTTAACAGCAAACACTTTAAATGGTCCCCAGAGCCTAGACACCACTAAAGAACTGGATTTTTTTTATAGCTAGTCTGCAAGCTATGGGAGCTTGGTTAGCTACTGAAGTAAGTCTTGGTGGATTTTAATTGAGCTATTATATGATAATTAAGGGTTAATGGCCTGATTTTAAGATGTGCTGAAAACTGGCAATTTCAGTGAACTTCAGTAGGAAATATGAATGCTCAGCACTTCTGAAAAATCATGCCATGAGTAAGTAGCTGATCTGTGTGGAACTTGAAGCAAATCCACTTGAAATTATTTCCTTAGAATATGGCTCAGACTGGGCAGATAATTTTGCAACCTTGGGCCTGGGTTAAGAAGCAGAGTTTACTGCAGTCTCTGCCACATGTAGTGTTGGTCGCTGGTGATGGTCATTCATTTGATAGAATGGATGTGAATTTGTAACATTTCCATCACCGTGCCTCAGAGCTCCCCGTTTTTAGCTCTTTTATTTCAGACCATTGTGTATTCTTCAAACCTGACTTGGCAGAGCCCAAAACAGGGGGGCAGTAATACATCATAAACACCTGAAAATACTTGAAAAGCTCACTGCTGTTACCATTAGCACCTGCATTACCACCACCAACTCAGTGTCTAGAGGTAGCACATTAGATATTCAACCCTTGACAGCAACGTACCAGATCCTTTCTGTGCAAAGCCAGAATGGCATCCACTGGCAGTTAAACTTGCTGATATTTCTTAAATCTTGAAAAAGTTTTCCTGAAGTATTTTTCCAATATACAATTTAGATTTAAAACCCCAAAATAATCAGCGTTTAAATCAGTGTTTAAAAATCAGTGTGTTTCAAACATCTCTAAGCCCAAAGACAGCATTTTGCACTCACACCCGCTCAGCCCCAGGACCTGTAAGCACAAAATGCAGTACAGTCTGTTCCTGTCATAAATGTTGTACCAGCAACCTATACCTGCTACAGGCACTGTAGAGGAGAAGGAGCGCATTGGGACAGTGGACTTTGTCTCAATGTGGCTGTGCAGCTCTAGGCTATGTCTGTGTCCTTTCTGTACTGTTTTTTTTTGCCAAGACTGACCACAAAACCATGATGTTTTCAATCCTACTGCCAGGGAGCAAATGCAGAGGTCTGGGCATGACCTACTGCTGTGCCCATCCCTCCAGGCCTAGGCAGATGCCACGCTTTTATGGTAGGAGACAGCCCTCTCACGTGCAGTGCCAGGAGGACTGTGAGTCCTTGAGCTGCTTAGGTCAATTAGCTTTGCATCGACTACAGCAGAGACCAGAAGCCCAAGAAGAGTGGGAATGGATTCAAGAAGCACCCACACAATTCTACAGTAAACGTGGCATCTTACGAGCTGTAAACACGTTTTAAATCCAAAAGTAAATACATATATGTATTAGAAATATACACCTAAGCGCATGTTACAGAGTCTAATAATCCAGATGCAACAGAGGTTACCAGGTAAATAACAAGAATGGTTAACTAATAACATCAACTCTGACGAAATAAATTAAAAGGAATATTTAAGAAAGAATAATCAATGTCTTGAATATTCAGTTTTACCATAGCACAAGCAATTAATTCGATGGAATACTTACAAAAAATATAGTGTAATTTTAAGAAACTTTATTTTGTTACACATTAATTTAGATCAGGGATACTCGACAGTGCAGATTCTGCACTTGGTCTATAAAATGTCTTTATTCAGACATTGATTTGATGTTTAAACCACTGCTTCTGAATTTAGTGTCCTTTCATTTTGGGGCTCTTTCATTCTGATCTAGTCTTTTAATGAAACCAACTCCTATAATTCCTATGGAAATTAGCTTTTATTTTACTTTTTTCCAGCTACCAAAGCATTTCAGTAGGACTGTTCTGATACAAAGTACACAAATTGGATTTTATTTCTGCTTGAGATGTAATTAAAAACTCATTTGATTACTATATATCTGGCCCTGTTTTAATTATTAAACTCTGGTAATCAATTTTCTTTTATGAAGCTTCTGGGAAATTATCTCAAAAGCAACACATTTCTCTCCCTTCTGGCAGGCTCTCGACCATTTACTGAATTACATTCATAGCACCTGTTCCTGATCCGGATTAAACCACCAATTTATTCCCAAAGCTATTTAAGGTTATTTGGCTGTAGCCTAGTCAGGGTTTTCTACCTCCTGGCTGCACTTTCTACTTCCCATTTTATTGCGTGAAAACCCCTTGATGTACTGCTCCCTCCATGCCACTGTTTCTGATGCGTGCCTCTTAACGAACGGCTTTGCTAGCGATCTGTCTAATTTGGTATCCAGCCTCTTACCGCTCAATTTATTATTTGCTTTAGTAGGAAGAGGCTTGGTCTTCAGCAGCTGTCTGACACGGGATGCCACCACATAAACTCCTAGCTGCAGGAACGCCCTTTCTCCTCATCCCTCCTTGGTGCAGCAGGTGGGCCGGGAGCTGGCGGGCGGCCAGCCGGGCGCGGGGCGGGAGTTTGGGACCTCGACGCCCGCTCGCAGTCCTTCCAACTGCAGTGCAGCTGCCTTGCTACACAGCAATAGGTGCAGGATCGGCGACCCTTCCCATTTTATCCCCTTTGCTGTAAAAGCTGTTCTGAATTGCAGGGCG